GGTCAGACACCACGTCCTGGCGATGTCTGCTGTGTCTTTGCCACCGCGTGCATGCCCATGTGTGTGTGTGGGGGGTTGTGTTTGTGGTTGCTTATGTAGATTTGAATATATTTACGTTCTTTGCGCTGCTTTTTCTTCTCTTCCTGCATGGAGCAGAGGGAAAAAGGCCATGTCATTCTTCCACAACTTAATCAGGGGCTACACACAGGAGAGGGCTGCTGCAGCATGGACCTCCCTGATCATGTTAATGAGGTCCCCTGGCTATGTAGTCATTGAAGTATAATTGACTTGTTCGTCTCTTATCTTGCTAATAGACACTCTGACCCAGAGCACGTTTATTTCGCTATGAGAAATGTCAAGAAGGATTGGAAGTTTCTTCAGTGTGCCCATTAAAACTGAAGGCATGCCACCCTGTCTCCAGCCGGCCAGGGCTGCCATTGGCTCCCTGCCTCATTATGCAGATGCCAAACGTAAATAAATGATTTACTACCCCCACCATTCTCCCCTCACCTACTCTCACCCTGTCCCTCTTCCCAAACTCCAGTTTTCTCTCTTCTCCCAGAGAAGGAAAAGGAGGACAGGATGGAGGGAGGGAAGGAAGGGAAAAGAGGAAAACGCAAAACCATCCAGTAAGCACCAAAACAATTTGCCTCTGCAGAGCAAAATAAATAATGCAAAGGTAGTAATTATAATAAGACATGTCCCCGACTTGAAAACCTGACGAAGCGCATTGATGTTGTTACAGCTGTGTATGTCTCCTGGCTTTCAGGACCTATCAGAATCAAACAGGGCTCTGTGTAATGTGGAGAGACCAAGAGGCAAGATGCGTAAGCGGGCGCCGGGCAAGGATGAACCAGTGACTGTGGTCACACGCTCGTGGATATGAGGGGGAACATCTGTGCATATCAGCAGCCTACCCTATCCCTGCATGTCCACCATGCCTTCTTGGGCCAGTCGCAGAGTCACAGAGAAAATGCTTTTGGTCACAAAACATTGTTTGCCAAAATCCATCTTCCATAAAGAAATCTAGTTCCAGCACGCCACACCTTCCCCTCTCATGAAAGGACTCCTGCTCTAAGAGGTTCTTTTTGTAATCTAAAGTACATCTGTAAAGAACATGTATGCATTCTTCCAAAAAACAGACACTACAGTATGTTATTCAAATAACTTAATAAATCAATAATATTAATAATGATAAAATAAAGTGTGAGGGGACTTTCAGCTTTTTAACAGCATCTTTAATGACTGCTCTGCAGCTGCAAAAGATAAGAGAGCCCAGGCTCTTTTAGAAAGCAGACAAAGATGTTGAATACTTGTTATTGCTTGAGTAACTTTATTGTTTTGCAGTGAAATACTTGGGAAACATGTAACATCTGCTAATCTGACAAACAGGAACAAGAAAAAAGAGCGTGCCATTATTACCTGAGAAGTTACAATAGATCTTCAGCATGTAGCCTGAATAAATCCAGTCCTTTGAGAAACATTACATGAAGCCGTGCGTGCTGTGTACACAATAGAGCTCAATTTTCAGATATGATAGAAACAGATATGATTAAAATTTGAATGCAAATTACATTTTTAAAAACTGCGCAATTGCAGTTTTTGGTGTGTTTAAATGGCCATTCGTGCTCTATATTAAACGAATTACCAGGGATGCACAGAAATGCACAGAAATGCACAGAAATGCTGAGCCTGTATTGATACCAATGTTTAAAATGAGCAAATGTCAGGTAAGGAATACTGATATTTTACCAACATTTTTTTTAAGTTTATTGTGTTGTTTTTCTACTTTGTTCCAGGTTCCAGCTTCAGTAAAATAAATGACGTGTTTTAAAGTCACAGTAGTTTTTAATTTATAACAGGACAAAAAACTCAACTGATACACCTGAATAGTAGTGTAATATTGGCCAGTATATCAGTGTATCCTTAATTACTGATACACACTTAATTTAGTGTAATAGGGATCATTGCTGATTCTTTTTTCTTTTCTTTTCTTTTTTTACAAGCGATTAACACATGATCAGCTTCTGCATGTCATTTTATCATCTGTATAAAATGTTCATATTTGTCATTTATTTACTGTTTTTTGTGCAGTTTTCTGCTCTATCCTAAGCCATGCCACAATGTAAGCAGATGTACTGTTTTTGCTTGTGTGCATGTACTCAAGTTCAACTTGCATGACATGTAATACAATCGACAATCCAAAAGTTTCACATGGAATATTAGTTTTATTGATGTATGAATGACTGCAGATAGCAGAAGCCTCAAAGAGAACTGTACATGTTTTCAGCACGTAACCGAAAGAAAACGATCACAGCTGTCTACCTCCCGTCATATTTGCAGAAGACTAACCAGCATCATTCTGTCATTTCTCCTTATTAGCACACATTAATGAGTTGACTGTGGCTGTGTTATGCACCCCCTGAAATTTAGTATTTTCTGATCAGCCTTCGTGTGATCGCGGCACTACCTCTGCCTTGACTCGGAGACATCATTATAATAATTACCACAAGCCCTAGTTGTTACAGGCAAATAATTCTGCTGGGTCCTTTTTTTTTTTATACCCCCACATTTTTCCTTCTTCATCCTTCCTTTTTTCTCCCCCCCTCTCTCTCTCTCTCTCTTTTTTTTGCTGCTGCTTCACAGTGGAGGGGAAAATTACATTTTTTTACCAAGCCTTTCTGTTGTCTGTATTGTGACAGCGGTCATACTCCATCACATAGCCCCTCTCTCAGCTACGAGTATCCCACAATCGGAGTAATGGTGAACACACACACACACACAATCCAAGCAGAGCAAACAGCGTATTAACCATGTAGTCTCATCCCACCTTTAGCTCGTGAATAGAAGAATGGGTTTAGTTCAATAGCTGCCTTTCATTTGCATTCATCTCAATGGTGATCATTTTTAATTAAATGAGTTTTGATTGAGGCGATCCAATTAATCTTTTGCAGGATTTTGCGTCGCCTCTTTTTCTTCGTCCCGGGAAGACAAAATCAGAATCTATCATTTGGCGATTTATGTTTAAAGCAGAAAATCTTGCTTTTGTGTCACACACTGCCCTCTGACCGGCACAGAAAACATGGTCGAAGCGTCTCTGGAGCTGCAGATCTTTTGACCTTTGAAGATGTGGTGCTGATGCGTGAACAGTTTGAGGTGCTGCAGGTATGAGGAGTTTGGAAATTCCAGTGGCTCACCTACATCAAGCTTCCTCCCAACCTCTAAGATCCTTAATGTTTTCTGAAAAATAACAACCAATGACAACAAAGGAAGAAGAAGAAAAAAGAAAGACTGCCAGCACTGCTTCAGCCTGCAAAGAATTTAAATGTAAATTATTTTTTCTTCCTCTCCTCCATGTCTCCGCTCTTACTGGTCAACATTATCATCTTTATTTATTAAATTTTTTTCCCTCAGTGATCAGCGTGTCTGCACCAATTGATAGCAGTGCAATAACAAACCTAATTAACATAGCTTTTATTTTTCAAAATGATTTTTGATTAAGCACTAAAAACTGCACTTTGTCACTGTGCTGAAGTGTGCTTGAGTGTTAGCTTGCGTGCAACATTTCTGAAGTGCCATTGTCCTTCCTCACTTGTTGTGCGCCATACTAACTCTCTATTTAACGCGTGAACAATTAGGACAGATGCGATTAATGCAAAATGGATAAAGGAGAACTGGTGAAAAGAAAAGCATAAAGAAAACTGGGACAATAGTGGCATAATATTGGCTGATAAACACATTATATGGGCCTGAATATCAGCAACCACTTCACACACACACACACACACACACACACACACACACACACACACACACACACACACACACACACACACACACACACACACACACACACACACCCATGGATCCATGACCACAGGAGACACTGAAGTGTATGTTTTCTGTCAAATGCATAAAACATACGAACTCTATGGTCCTACTCTTAATTTTTCAGCTGTAATTTTGGTGGGAGAGCCTGATTTTGGGGGTGGGCTAAAAAATGGAGAGTCATTTTTTTCCACTCTGTAATTAGGTATTCATCCTAAGACCACACTGGTCACTATCTGCATTCTTCTTCTCTAATTAGCACAAATTGAGCAATTTGTTTCTCCTTTTAAACCCCAAATCATCCTCTAATCTGCAAGTCATTTACATTCAGAGGAGTGATGGAAAATGACACCGATGGGCGTCCTTCTGCAGCTCTTCATTACACAAGTACATCTGAATTAAATTACAAAGTGCTGCTGATAATTGATGGAGAGGTAAAGGTGCTCACTAGGGCACTTTTTCATTCACGATAACAATACGTTCCCCAAATACCGTTTCTTTATGTTGATATTTGTTGCCTCTCTAACTACAAAATAAACGCTACATACTAATCCTAAATTCTCCATCAACACCGCACTTATAACTTATGTATGTATATGTATATTGTCACTTTGATTTCCAGGTTTTCCACCATGTTAAACAGATAATGTGATATGCTTCACAAAGTCAGCTGTTTCTCTCCTTTTCCACACTTTCAACTTGTTTTCATCTGTTGACAAAACTGTGCAGGTTCTATTAGAGGTTTTTCTGGCAAAGTGTCAAAGTGTCATCTGTCCTTTCAGTTTTTCAGTATAACCAGCTGTTAACATGGGCTGGAATGATCTGGAACAGCCTTTTGATTTTGTGTTATTCAACCTCTGCATGAAAATTATGGAGGTCTACTAAGCAGTGATGTAGCGTTTAAGTAAGCTAAACTGGTTAGTTTGCAGTATTGTGGTGAAATTTACAATAATGTACCATATTGGACTGGTTTACACCAAAGGTAGTAAGAATTCATTTACATTTAAGATGATGATGCTGATTAGATTCACTCACTGAATTCTATACTTATACTATCCTAATAGTGTCTAGGTGTAGGAAAATCAGCCATTCATATAATGCTTAGAAGACTTTATCTACCTACATCCAGGTTGGGCAGGGCTCAGGTCTTGACCAGGGTTGCCCCTGCCTCCTGTTCCAGCCAGCACACCTGTCTCTCATCAATTCATTACCCTTTGGCTGCATCAAGAATCCTTGACTGCAACCCAAGAAATCTCTGAGTTGTTTAATCTGAAAAGGAAGATCTTACCAGAAAAACTAAGCTGGCCATCGATCATAAAACCTGTGAATCCTCTGCCAATCTAATCTCCGATGTCACCACCACCTGGAAACTTCATCTGCCTTCTCCATCTGCAAGTTCCCAAGGAAAATAGATCCTCCAGTGTCCCCCCAGTTACAGGCAACAGTGTTAGCCACTCCACCACGATGCTGTCCAGCAGCTCTTTGGACCTTTTATTGTGAGTTTTCTGTGAACTTTCTAAACACAAATTCATCACTTGGAATTACTCCAGATTTTATGTCTGCTTAATTTGTCATGGAATAATGGAGGATCGTGCTCACCTGGAAATTAAATTTCTCTTTAGTCATTTGTCCAAATGTTTTTGAAAATGTCTATGTCTAAAAAAAGTTCTATAATTCCTAGAAAGTGCAAGTCTATTTCAAAAACCTTTGAATTAAAGCTGAAAGTCTGCTCTTTAATCACTCCTTAATTATTTGACTTAAAGTCCACTGTGGGTGTGTACACAAGTAAAACTACAAAAGCTGCATTTTGTCAACAAAACATATGAACATATCTTTAAGTATTACTACAGAATATGAAGTATATTTGTATAGAAATAGACATACTGAATGCTCTAGTTGTCAAGCTAACAGGCACAAGTCATTAGTGAGCTCCCTTTGGATTTCTCCTTCTTGATCCATGTATCCATCTAGGAACCATTAGATACACAGCTGCTCAGCGAACGTTAATAATCAAGTGTGTAGTTACTTTTGGACACTTGCAAGTCCATGACTATGTGTTAAAGGGCTGTAGCTTCCGCATAGTATTGCCTATCTTCATGGGAAAATGCTCAAATTAAAGCAAAAACTCAGCACTTCTAAGGTTCAATTTAATTAAGTTTTATTCATATAGCTCCAAATCACAAAAACAGTCACCCCGAGGTGCTGTATATTGCAAGATGAAAACCCTACAATAGCGCATTATCTCTTCTATTTCATTCAGAACAAAGAATGTGTGACTGGTTGGATTTCTGCATGGAGTGTCTGCAAACCCGAGATGAGCTGACTGTATGGAGGATAGCACCATGTTCAGACATCGCCATGGCACAGGTATGTACATATCGCCATTCAGAACCATTTAAACTGCAATCCAGCAGCAGAATCACCAAAACTTACGCAATGTGTGTTTAAAGAAGACAACTATCAGTATAATCCATTTACTTTACTCAAAAATGTATTTTTCATCATCCTTTAACTCTCACTCCTTTACATTCTTATATTTAACTAACAGCTAGCTACCTGGTATTTATACCTGTATAACTGGTATTTAACTTTTACCAACTCATTTCATTTTAAAGATTTTTAATGGAAGAAAAACATGGATGGCAGGTTATTGTTGGCACCAATCAAGTAACCTTGAGTACTGGGTTTTTCTGGCTTTTGTCTATCTAAGAAAGTATTATTCTGTTACTAAAAGGAATGATGAGTGCTGCCTCTTACCTCGATTTAACCATAACTCCATCCAAGTCTGTGGGCACTGAAAAACTGAGCCAAACTGAAGGTGACATAGTTGTTCATTTCCAAAGATGCAGTATATGAGTAAACCGAATGGAAGTGTGTGTGTGTGTGTGTGTGTGTGTGTGTGTGTGTGTGTGTGTGTGTGTGTGTGTGTGTGTGTATGAGAGCGAGATAGTGACCTTTGCCCTGTTATTGACAACCACAGAATATTGCCACTGGTGCCTGTAATCACTATCTGTACTGTCCGGAAGGAAAGTGTGTGTCTGTTTCTCTTTGTGCATCTGTGTTAGTGTGTTTTCATTTGTGCACAGATTATAACTGAGGGAGTGCACGTGTCCTTGAGTGTGCGTGTGTGTAGGTAGTGTGTGAGCGGCAGCGTGTGTGGAACATGTGTTGGCGTTCTCAGAGGAACAGCAGGGCTCTAATAAGGACTAGTCCTGGATGGCAGCTGGTAAACTCTGTCCTCAGAATAGGTGTCCTTTATTCACGCACAAAGGAATGCAAATTAGTCCCAGCGCCGAGTGGACACTGAGAACTGATCCACATGGCGCGCACGATCGCTCTCGAACATGCATTGAGAATTGCACCGCAATGCAAGTTCCCGCAATCGAAAGACAAAACAGGCACAGCCAACGACAAGGCCCACCCGCACAGCTGTTTTGTTAGTTCGTGTGCAAATGCGTGTGTGTGAGAGAGAGAGAGTGTGCGCGACTGTGAGTCTAAGCACGTGCGGTGACCAGGGGTCACTTTCTGCTTTGGCAACAAAAAAGTCTGGTAGAAGTCTCAAGAGCTCAAACCACACCCACACACAATTAAAGCACTTCATTTTAAAACTCCACCTGAGAGATGAAGCTTGGAGTACCTACTGGTGACCCCCTCATTGCGCTCGTGTTATTTTTCAGATTCCTCTCAATGCCTTTGTGTCACAACAGTGGCGCTAAGATGAATATCTTTTATCGGTTCAAACAATAAAGCTTTAGCCCTTCAGCTTGATTTTCAAGTTCATATCCATATGAGGTGTGCACCGTCCTGGCAGGTCAAATGATGCCATTATTCCGGGAGCTTTCAAAAATTGTAATTTATACTAGAATTTGCCACTGTGTTGCAGTAATGTAAGTCCTCGTGGTGTATGTCAAGAAGCCAAGGCCTTGAAAACAAGTTCATTGGTTAAGAGGGAATGCATAGATATGTGCTTACATAATGGGAAATGAGCTCTTGAAACCACATACATTGTGTTATTGTACGAGTTGTGAGTGTACTTCAAGACTCATTATGAAAATATGAGGCGTCCATTCAGGAAACTGTATTAGATTTCAGAATGGCATATTACCAGAGCTTCAACAGGGCTATGTTATTGAGATGTGCTTAAACGTTTCCTTAAAGCTCCACTCACCCACATTTTATATAGATAATAGATAAAATCACCACGCATGCGATGAGCAGGATCACTTGGAAAGATTAACCCTTAGTTCCAGTACTGTGCAGAAGTCTTGAGTCATCCTTCATTTCTCTCGATTTTGCTTTGAATTTCTTGTCATTTTTTCAAGTGGTCCTTAGATGTGTTCCCTCATCTTTCAAAGTTTTTCTTTGGACATTGGTTGCTTTTTCACTCACTTTAAGTCAAAGGCTTATACTTCTGTATATTTACAATTTCTGTTATCTGTTTGTTGAGCCACTTATCACTACCCTATAAACAAGTCAACTCTAAATTGTATCTTTATGCACTGTGTTATTAGCAGCCCATTTCCTCAGTTGAATCTATAATCAATCAAAAGTAACATTTTTGTACCTACAAAATGATTCCCGAGGAGTGTTTTGCAACTTCCTAGGGCAATATTTTGGTCTTCAGCTCATATTAGCCCAAATTTTATTTCCCATTCATGTTTAAAAGTAAACGGCAATGATTGATAAGGTGCAGGCTAATAACAGTGTAAGCAGCGCTAGCCTTACAAATGTTTGGAGGGTTTGCAATTCTCAATAAAAAGGAATCCCCAAACCTACACTGCGTAAAACAATGAATTACTGAATATTAATGTGTCTACACGTCTGCTCCATATCAGCAACTTTAACATGTTAGCTTAATAACTTTAACCCACAACTTTTTATGACTTTTTTTTCAAAGAGTACTGTTCCAGGCCTGTTAGTCAGCAGCTTATTTCCTCAAAAAAGAAGTAATAAAGTCTCTTCCTCTGTGACGAATTATCCATCAACAATGGAAACAATAAACAGTTACCAGTTTTGGTGGGAGAACTCATCTTGATAGAATCTTTGATGTTGACCCATAGACTAAAGTCAAAGTCACAGTCAAGGCAATTCTGTCATTTTGGTCCCTGCATGAGAACTATCACACTCCAGGTGTTAGGAAGCAGCACAGGAAGCCCATGATAAGAATTTCTATCATGGTGCCATACAGAAAATGATTTCAGCGTCCCAAGACTAGCTTGAATAGATACCCTGTCAGATGCAGCAGTGAAGGTGACCCAGTGAGCTGCCAGTCAGACATCAAAGGGTGCCAGCTGTTTTCTCAAACTGAGGGGGGTGGAAGAGAAGAACGAGTAGGACTGAAGAGGAAGATTGAGATGACACGTCGGATCTCCAGGAGTGTCACTTTGTGTAATGGGTGAGTGGCGGGTATTCATCTGCCTCGAGAGAAAGAGACGGAGAATACTCCACATGGACTTCAATGAGACTTCAGTAATTACTTATTACTGCACATATGGATGAGATGGGGCATGAGAGGACTTGAGGCGCGTGCAGCTCTTCCTCCATCTGAAAACCACCTCCGGGGTGACTTCAAGAACATCCCTATAATGCTCCAAGACAAAAGTCTCATTACAGGTAATTATGGATTGCCTATATCACTGCCTCTCTGCCCCCTCCTCTTTCTCCAAAAGCCTTCTGCCTCACCCTCACTACTTTTATCCTCTCATTCAACAGAAGTAGCAGCCTGGGAGAGGGAAGGAGTGATAGAAAGGGGGGAGGGAAAAGGCTATTACCTGGGAGCAGACGCTGATCATGGCCGCTGACGCTTTACTGCACTTCCATTCATGTGGAGTGGCTCACTTGTGGGCAGCAATTACCGACCAAATGATCCAAACTGGGCCTTGTAATGAAGGGGCTGGACTGACTGAGTGACTAGCTGCACTCTTCTGTGCTTGTGTGCAGAGTATCATCCTATGCTTTTAAACAGATTAGAGCTAGTGGGCTTGAAGGTATAGGTGTAAGCTTTATGCACACTTGTGCATCCTTTGCATGGACTAGCAGTAGTCTGAATTCCCTTTAAAAACACGTATCGGTCAAACTGAGCTCTGTTCTGCACACGTCCCTGCACGCTCGCCCCTGCTCCCCTCACACCATGCAATTGTCAATGTGGAGCTGGTGCAACAGGCAAGGCTGTCATCCACAGATCACAGACAACAACGGCGCCTTCCTCAGCCGCCTTTGAAAATGTCACTGTGGGAACAGCATAATCAACCCCATGTCACCACCAGCTGCTCCATTCGGACCACATTAGAATAAACAACAGGCAGGGAAGAAGCAGAGGTACAAAGAGTGGAGACAAGTGCGTACGGAAAGATGATGGTGCTCCATCTGTGGCCACTGGTGAACAAGGAGGCAGGAAGCACAACTTGAGCCAGTAACTGAAGGGTGGGAGGGGTATAAGGAACCTCTGAAATCCATCTGTGTGATGCATCACAGCCTTCAAGAGCAGAAACTGGTCATGCTATGCTCAGGGAAATCTTTAATTTTGTTTCTCTAATATTGTTCTCAAGATTACAGCACCTTGTGCTGCAGTGCAGGTTCTCCCTCACACTGCTGCCCTTAGTATTGGATACACTTTTTTTTTTCATGTGCAAAAAATGTGTGGGAGCAGTTTACTTGCTACAGCGCCACATTTTCTTTACCAGTTTCTCCTTGGACCAAAAAGAACAAAGAAGCCAAGAGAAAGATGGATGAAAACAAAGAAAGTCCAAGTACCATGACCACAAGAGGTGTAATTGTTCTTTATAATGACAGATTTCAGGCAGGGATATAAAACAACAATGGAGCGTCCTTGGAAAACGCAGGCAGAATATGAATGGAGGTTTTGTCATCCTCTTTGACAAAGACCAGTACAACCTGTACAGAGGAGGCTGTGCTTCCAATTTCTCCGAGGTCAAATGCATTTCATTGTCAAGCAGGCCAAAATGTAACATGCCGGGGTGATGATGGCTCCAAAAGCCCTAAAAGTCCCAAATTGTGCAAGTCATCCTAAACAAACACAGAGGGACAAAAAAAATCCCACCATCGTCTTCTATAGGCAGTAAATTACATTAAATATAGGTTGTGTAATGCATATACTGCTCCCTATTCATCCTGTTTGAAGTGCCCTCTCACTAGCCAAAATCTCTTCTCATCTCCAGTACCTGTGAATTATACAAAATGATGCGTTCGCCATTGATTTCATCAGTCCACTGTAGTCGCTAGTAATCCCATTATAACATGTCTGTTAGTACAATAGCTAGATATGGCCTGAATAAAGGAAGCCTTTCTTTGCCTTGTCAAAGGTAGGCTGTCTTCCAAATTACTTCTTCAGAAGTTAAAAGGCCCACTGCCTAATCAGTCTATTATACCAGACTAATAGATGACCAGTAATTGCAACTAATAACTTATTACTCATCTACACAAATATTCTAATAGCTTGTATTTAGAAGCCAATTTTTTTCAATGGACATAGTGAGAAGGAGGGGGTTCCTATTCAAAAGCCAGACACACAGAAACACAAAGAAATACTCCCACAAAGGAAGCTTAGAAAGCAACCTGTAGCATGTTTTTTCTTCTCTTAGCTGGATTAATATCTAACCTTATTCACAGGGATGTGAAACCTCAGCTCGTCTTCATCTCCACAGATGTCTAGCACCAGGGCTTTGTTTGGTGCTCGGGCCCCTTTTGAGAGAGAGATAGAGATGGCGCATGGAATTATAAATAATGTCTTCTATCCTCTTCCCCTGCTAGCCTGCTAGGCCTCAGACACGGAGCTCAGTGGGGACTAGTGAGGCGGATGCACTGTACGTTATTTGAGCTTCGGAAGCCAGTAGTTCCAACAGGGCTCACGGGTGGAAACGCATTTACTCACAGCCAGGTGGCGAGGAGTTACCCGTGAGACGTAATAACAAAGTGGGTGCGCTACGTGGGACCCACGCTTCTTTTGTTACATTACATTTTGTTACAGGTCATTCTATAAGCAGAACTGAATGCATGAATTTGAAATGCACATTAAAACTAGAAATAAATGTCCACATCATTTATTTCCTGCTACATCAAATGGATGTAACTTAATTTTTGATGATGACCTTTTCTTTTCTTTTTTTCTTTTTTTTTTTTTTTTTTGAAGGAAAATATTGAACTTTCTGCACTCAGTCCTTTTTATCAGCTGGGGAAAACCTCCATGCTGAGCAATGTCCAATAATGTGTTTGACAGATAAGGGGTGATGCAAATCCAGAAAAGAGCACATCAAATGAATGAAACCTGCGTGAGCATTCAGATGACCTCTTGAAAACCAATGGTAAATGGTAAATGGCCTGCATTTGTATAGCGCTTTTCTAGTCCATAGGACCCCAAAGCGCTTTACACTACATTCAGTCATTCACCCATTCACACACACATTCACACACTGGCGATAGCAAGCTACATTGTAGCCACAGCTGCCCTGGGGCACACTGAAAGAGGCGAGGCTGCCGGACACAGGCGCCACCGGGCCCTCTGACCACCACCAATCCAACCTTTGGTTTTGCTGACCTCATTTTGTAGAAGTATGCAAATTTATTCAGAAATAATTCATAATTCATTTGTAATCACTAATCATTAGTTGCTCAGCATGTAAGCATAGTAGTCGCTAGCTAAGTAAGCAGGTCTAGCTAATAAACAAATGACAGAGCAGACACTGTTCAAGTAACATCACATAAAAGATGCACTATTGTTTACCTTCTATGGCATTGAAATACCTTTCAGAAACCAAACTAAGGGATAAAAAAAATAATAATTTTACCGTAAAAATCTAAATTCATACCTTTTATTTTAGATACTGTCTTTCTAGCTTCATACCGTGTGGACTAAAAGGTCAAAGTATGAAAAAAACTATCTATTAATATAGCCAACTGAGTGTTTGGATCTCTATAAATGTGTTAGTACAGCAGACTACACATAGGCTTCACTTTAGATTTATTAATCTGAATGCTGCATTAGCCAAACTATTACACAGAATAAGAATGTAAGGCAGTGTCGATGTACTGCAAAGTATTTGACTCTTTTTGAATCATCTAACATTCATTAAAGTAGATTCTTTACTAATTACTGAAAAGCGCAAAAATGCAGTACTTGTTACTTTACTACATTAATCACCACATCTTAAAAAATATTTTAGCACCACATGTTACATCTTCATCTTATAATCAATGCTAATTGTCAGTAAAAAATAATACTTAACTAGGCCTTTAACCTTTTAATACTGTCACCTAGTCATGCGTCAGTGTAAACCTCTGCAATGGAAATGATTATTAGGTTGGTTTTTTAGAAACTTATATCTGTTGCCACTTTCTAATTCTTCATCAGACTATGTTAATGTAGCAACTATCTTCCTCTAACACCAACACACAGAGAGAGAGAATTACTGGCTGTTTCTCCAAGCTGCATTTGTGTTTTACACCACATGACAAGCCTACAACACAAGCAGAGAAAGTAGCAAACTGCCAAGAATTAGCTCACAGACAGCTTCAGTTGGCTCTGTTGATCATGTGACTCTTGTCTTACAGGTTGTAGAAGTTCAAGATTCTCCCGTGATGTCTGTCCCCCCCGTCCTTGCAGCAGGCTGCCACTCTGTTAGCTGAGCACAGTGACATCAAGCCAGTATCAACTCTCCATTAAAATTCTATTGCGATTAAAAAGAAGTGTGAAAGACCACAGCATGCATCAGTTCCTTATCTATCAAAAGTTGCAGGTTTAACACGCGCACGATGAGTACATAAATACACACTCGACAGGATTTACGCCTGGGAGGAAGCATCATTAACAAATATGTTTATTAACCGCAACGCATTGAGGACACAATGGGCAGAGTACAATGGGAGTAGTTAAAGGGGCAGGACACACAAAAACCCACTGGGAGTATATAGCCCCCACTGATCAGTGACCTCATCCAGAGTCAGTTTCTCTTTCAAAGGCGGCGAGACCAAAGAGTAGTGGGGCCTTTTCAGCCGTGCAGATAACAAACCAACACCAGACACCCAATAAAGAGACTTCCACTTCATTTAAAAGCAATTAATATTCTTGGCTGGCCGGCGTGATCCCTTTGGTGTGGCAGGTCTGTACACGCCCCCTGCACTGTAATGGAGTTGACTGGTTAACTTTGAGTCTGTGGCCACAGTGCTGGCTGCCCGGGTGAGAGCGCTGATGCGCAGTGTGACACAGTGTTTAGATCGGACTGAATGGGCCTGTCTCACAGCCCAGTGCACTCCAAAGGAGCCTTCACTTCTCCATCTTTTTCTCTATACTATTCTCACTCTTTCCATCTTTAGCTTTTTCCGTCATTCCTTTCCTGTCCTCTTTCTCTTCTCCACGTTGTCTCCAAGTCTATATTGGCTATTGTTTCCTTTTTTCCTCCCTTTCTTCCTTTTTTTAAAAAACCTCTTCTTAAGTCGCTCTGAATTGGCTTTCAATAGGAGCAAGGGTTTAAATAGTTAGCTTTTGTAATGTTTGGTAATGATTGTCTCCTGGAGATGTGGAAAGAAAAAAAATGTTCATTTAAGCGCGTGCATATCCTAAATCCCTGCACCTAGTGGTACAATAGTTATGTTAAGCTATATTGCATATTTCCAACCATATCCATGATCACATACTGTGTATGGTATCGTTGTAAATAGTGTATTATCTTACTTTTTTTTTTGAAAGTTAATTATACAGTATATTGGTGAAGTTTCAATCCATCAGTTTTCTATAACAATTAATCTGTTATGAATCACAGGGAACCTGGATTTTAGAAACTTGTTTCTATTCCCATTTCCTAGTTCTACCTAGTAAAGAGCTGTTTGAAACTGAGAGTTAGCAGATTGCACATTTTCATATTAGTGAGATATTTAATGGTGTGTAAAGGGAAAAACTCCTAAACAGGAAACGACTACAGCATCACAAAGAGGGCAAAAAATGTATTAAATGTAATCAGTCATTTGCAACTTTAGTATGTATGTTTAGTGGCAATTCCTTTACTTTTAAAAGATCAAACGTCCCACAACTTAAAGTCCACAAGCCACTGCTGCATTGAGGTAATATTTCGTACGCAGGCAAAAGAAGTCCATTGTCCAAACCTTTTAGTTGAGAGTTTTGGTTTTGGTTTATTTATCCATTTGGCAAGCAATAACAAGATCCTTCCTACTGCTTCTCCTGCTCTGGTAAAAAAACCATAGGCCCACCCCAATGCATGCTGGTCCTATACCAGTCTCTTTATTTATAGAAACAAAATGGCCCTACAGCTCTTACTGACTAATTTAACAAAATAACAACAAACAAAACAAATCATTTAAAACAAAATATTAACCGACAAATAAACCCCAAAATATAAGTAAACTAACACACTTTAACTAATTTCAAAAATAAGAACAAAAACAAAAATAAAGAACAAATAGCTCCAACAGTATGTTTTTTTTTTTTTATCTAACTATGCATATAAGGAGAAATAAGCATCATTCTTAACTTGCGCAATGTCAGATGAGTGGGAAATATCAGGTTATGTTAGCAGGCATGACTACGGGATTTATTAAAATGTTCTTTACACTTTCACAGATATACAAGCCCACAGATGATGAAAAGTTTGGCTGTTTTGTAACTCATGGTGTGAATACAGCATTAGTCTAAATAGGAAATATTTTCACAAACTAATAAAGTGTACTTGTGCTAGTTTGATGTACTGCTTTACTGGCTTTTTTGACTCGAGTCAGAGTTCATTAGCACATTTCTTCTTCTTTTTTTAGTTCTATTTCTAATTTTAACCAGAACTTGAATCAGAACTATCTACAATGGCATCGGGGCATCTTTACTTAATTAGTACTTAAATCTGTTTGGCAGTTTTATCCAAAATACTGTCAAGCGAGTCCATTTTTCACGTGTTGCATCGTGGCATTGCTTTTAGCAGACAACATGGAGATGTTTGCTCAGTACTGAGAATTGCTGAGGACTCTGGGTGGCACTATAGAATATGAGCAAGCATAGGGGGAGTAACATGCATGATTTACAGGTAATTTCAAATGTAACCCTAACCCAGGGGTCGGCAACCTGCGGCTCCGGAGCCGCATGTGGCTCTTTAGTCCTTATAGTGCGGCTCCGCGTGGTTTGGGAAAATAAATTTGTTTTTTTAAGTATTTAGCTGAAGTGTATTTTATTTATTTTTATTTATGTTCTTTTTAACTTGTAGTTCTAAATTGGAAGATTATTGTGATATTGAAATACAAAAAAATATATATTCTATTATTTTTTTCATCGCTCAAAATAAGCGTCACACTCGCGGAAGCCGGTATACCCGCCAAAACGCCGTGCATTTACCAAGACTTTCAACCCCAGATAGGCCAATTATGGATCTTCGGATCCACATTATGTCAGCAGCTGTTCTCCACCGTGAACTATGTTAAAAACAAACACCGCTCACGCCTCACAGATGACAGCTTACAGTCCTGCGTAAAGATGAAAGTGACTTCGTACAGCCCTGATTTGCAGACGCTGTGCGCAGAGGTTCAGGAGCAGAAGTCCCATTGTAAACATGTCACGGCAGACCCGACGATGTTTCCATGAACATGCTTTTCAGCATCTACCACTTTTCACACACGATTGCCGTACGCATACAGCCGGCTGTAGCTTTTCAGCTCACAGCCCGACACCCACCAACACAACAGCATAGATGGCACAGACGTTAAGGCGGCGAGGCGTGTTTGCGGGTGCCGCTCAGGCGCGTCCACCCTGCACCCCACCACACACATTAACCAGGTAAAATACATATTTAGGCAGAATTTTGCAAATATCTATTTTTCATTTTTTTTGCAGCATAGTGCTTTTTTTCCCCAATCATTTTGTTAAAAGTCAGGTCAAGGCTCCTAAAGCCCAAAGGCGATATAAGGGTGGCGGCTCACAGCAGTTTTTGTTTGCTACATGGATCATTTTAGTTCCTTTTGTTATATTTCTTTAAGAGTTCAAAATGTGTTAATTACATAAATCAAATGTAATTTTCTCTGTAGGACTTCATGGATTTCACAAGCAACACACCTTAGTTGTTCACACAAAGCATAAAGGTAAAAAACAATATATACAGTGTTATCTTAATTTTAGATGTCAAAAAGTATTTGACAAAAGTTTTCTTTTGTGTGGAAATCGCGTCCTAATGGCTCTTTGGGTGTTAAAGGTTGCTGACCCCTGACCTAACCCCTTTTGCCAGTAATGAAAATTACTTAATAATTATGTCAGTTGTCTCAGTTACTAATTACCTTCTATTGTTTTGGTAGCATTTGCATGCGTGTCATTCTGTCGGTAAACACAAGAGCACAAAATGTTTACTTGAACTCTGATAAAACTGTGTAGGGGTGTGGAGTGGTTTTATATTAACAATCCATTAAAATTTGTCTTACATCCAACAAGGTCTCCAAGGTCAACTCAACGATTTATTGGTTGGAAACTGACCCAAAAAAATCCTTAAAACTTAGAAACAAATTATGGTTATTGAAAGTGTAGTGCGTGTTGTCAACATAAAAAATGTACTGCATAAAAATTTAAAATGTGTCACATTTGACCTCTGACCTCTACCTCAAGGTTGATACATTATTTGGAAGGTTAAAATGATAGATATAGATATTTAAAACTAGCTTTGTCACTCTCACTTCCATTGTTTGCGCTGACAATATATAGGCATACAGGAAATGATATGGGGAATCTAAAGATTACGTGACATTGGACCTTTGACCTCTTCTTCAAGGTCAATAGGGTCAAAGTTTCATAAAGTGTCTTTTATGTATTAAAACTGTGCTTAAAATTCTGCTGTCTTTGTTTTAATTGGCAACATTTATGAAACGATCCTGGTGTTCCTGGATTCTAAATATCACTTTATTGGTCACATTTGACCTCTGCTCTCATTTTCACATTTCACATATACTTTTCTTTCAAGTCAACCCAAACAGGCATTATTTTACTGCACCACAAACTTCTTTACATACATACATACATTAACAAAGAACAAAGAAAACAACTAACAATTAATATGTAGGTAAGAGATCGTGGAGTGAGCTGGCTTGGTGGAAGTTTGAGCTCTCTGAGTGCTTCTTGTTAGTTTATAAAACACACAAATGAAAACCAAATAAACGGAGTAATGCATATCTTTTCACAAGTTAAAGTCTGAATTTTGAAAGAGCTGCTGGAGCAGCGTGCTGAATATGAGCTTATCAAGACATAGCTTGGCGCTGCAAATGCAAACCCATTGACAAGAGTTTACTGTACCGGGAAGACAATATGTTTGAACACTGAGCTCTGAGGAATGTGTTTACTAGGTTTGCTATTTTTTGTGACTACTTGCCTGTAATGTCTTAGGCAGCAGTGTGTTGAACTGCCAGGGCCACCACACAATGTAGCATGGTTTTCAATGCAGAACAGCCAAAGAAATGCAAAACGAAACAAAAGGTCTCCTGCAGCAGTTTACTGTTATTTTCAGTCTGTAAAGTAAACTTGGCACTGACTGGGTACACAACAACACAGCAATGAATGCCCTTGAGGATCGAAGAGAAAGGTTTGCCTTCTGAGACCTTGGCCAGTACTCTAAATGGTAATGACTAGTGCATTAGCAGTCGCCTGGTTGTTTAGTAGGCTGAGGGTAATGAGGAAATCAATGGACCACATTCAACAAATATTTAGAGTCTTTTTTAGGAGTA